AGGTTCCTTTGGGAATGACTACAGCCTTCCACTTAAGTGCTACTTTGTTTGTTTGTTTGTTTAAGCCAGATGGGGCAAAAGATACGCAAGTCCTTACTAATATGTGAAAAAGCATGTCTGGACTCTGTTTTCTCCTTCTTAGGAAAATGAATTGCCTTAATCTCCTTCTTCATGTATATGATTTTAACAGGTAACCTTCCTTCTCACAGTTGTATTTCAGCTCTGATATTGCAAAAACCACTGTTAATAGAAAAATAAAGAATTGCTACCCGAACACATCTTTTCCCAAAACAAAACGCTGCTCCCTAGTGGAAGATGATGATATGATCTAATTTCATTAGAAGGAATGTTTTAAAATTTTCATTTTATCAGTTACAGGAAACCTTAATTCATTTTCACAAGCACTGACATACAAGCATATTAGGGCTGGTTTGTTTTATTTCAGTCTTTCAGATTTTCTTGTGAGATTTTGGTATTTATTCCTCAAGATAGATTTGCTATGCATTTATATCAATACTATATCACATCCAAATAACCTGCCAAGTATTTCTTCATTAAAATATTAATACATTTTCTAATTTGATCCCTTTGAGTTTTTCTGTTCTTAGACAATATAAAAAACACAGACCAATTTTTCCTTATGTTTTTTCCACATATTTAATTACCGACAGGCTTTTATAGGTCTGAATACATAGCTTTAGCTAACCAGTTTGAAAATACAACATTCATCAGTCACATTCACAGAAGAAGTTAGGCAAATATGCAGATACTATGAAAATCTTTATCCTGTTTGCTGTGGGTTTCTAAAGATATCCCTGTCTGCAAGCACAGTGATAGAAAATTGAAGAATTGCCTGTTGCAGCAGTTCCTTCAGCTTATACTGAAACAGTGACAAGTGGTCAGACATCAAGGAATATTTGTTCTGAAGGAACCAAATTTTATCCTACCTGTAGTTAATTTACAAAATATAGCATTAATTTGCTTTCCTAGTGTTTGTTTGTTTGTTTTCCCTAAAGCATGGATAAAGCAAAAAAAAGGAATAGCCCTCCATATTAAATGCTTTGAGTTATGGACCAAAGCAGCACAGTTCTAGATTTATTCCCAGCTTCTCATATTCACAACAGGAAACCTATATAGCACGTGCTTCCATTTTCTTATCTCTCTGCAGATAAGAGACAGATGTAAAGTAGTTCCCTGATAAACATACCAATAAAGTACTTTTGTTACTTTTTGGGTTTTTTTATGAAATGCCTTTTAAAAAAAAATTTCTCTCTGCTTATTGGTTTACTAATTAATTTTAACTACAATTTTTGCCTGCGTACTTCTTCTACCTTAAGTACTCTTCCCATCAAATACAAACACTATGGGGAGAAAACAGTAATTTGTCAAAGGACATAGGTTAAGCAGTCACAGATTGCTAATTAGTGTAAACCTCATCTATAAAAATTATAATCCTGTCAGATCTATATCTAGTCTTCTGTCAAAATTATGTTGGCTGTATACATTGTAGAATAATATTACACAGGCTTGCAAAAGCACTCTGGCTTAACTTTAACCACCAGCAACTGGAGCCGCACACCCTACCCAGAGAGCCCTGCCCAGCTCCACAGCAAACGGCTGCGGCCCCTGGACACTTGCTTGTCTTTCCCGAATGTTCTTAGCTGCGTCTTGCCATCCATACAGCTGCCACGGTATTTCACAGCAAATACCTAACCCTCCTGCAACAGTCTCAACTTCCACGTTCCAATCAGAGGGACCAAAGGTTGGTATTCATTTGTTTGGTTTTAGGGCAGAGAGAGACATAGAGAAGCTCCCTCCATTTCCAAGTATCTACTAATGTATGGAAGGGGGTTTTTATGACCCACTAGGCATAAAATCCAGAACTCCTAATCTTGAAAGAATACAAACGAACAACATATCTACTTTGCCATTTACTTGAGATGAAGACAGAAAACTGTTTTCAAAGTTATAGTGCAAGTCACACCATGAAATATTTCCAGTAGACCTCACAGAGAAAAAAAAAAAATCAAGGATCAATTCATAAATAATGACTTATTGAGGAGTTTCTAAGCCTGACAATTAAGGAAAAGTACATTTGTTTTAAAACAGAGGAAAAACATGGAGAAAATTAGGAATCAGGATATGGATGTTCATAACTTCATGAATTTTGGCAGCCAATTCTTGCTTTCTTAAACATATGCCATCAACAGTACTGAAATGAATCAGGGTTCCCATCTCAGGCCTCCCACTTGCAGCTGGCCTTGCTGCCTGCCGGCTGCACCATTGGCTATGCAGTTCATACTTTGGATTCTTCAGCAACCCTACTATTCTAAGTTCAATGCCTATCTTCTACAGGAGCTGGATGACGTTTAAAATTTTAAGGGCATCTGGTGATCGAATTTGAATGATAGTACCTAATTGTTCACATAACCCAACAGCCAGAGATTTTAGCATTAACTTCACAAGTGTTATTACTGTAGTAAGTACACAACCAATTCCGGGACGTCATAAATGAATCGGCAATGCTTTTCCACATAAAGGCACGTTGGCTGTCTGGGATGTTCTGTCCTAGGGCTTCTACTGTTACCTAGTAATTTTTCAGAAATGAAATTATTTCTTGAAAATTTACACTTAACTTAGTATTTAATTTCAATTAGCACATTAATTAGAAGACAGAGGAAAATGTGCAAAATAGTATTTATTTTTAAAAAAATGAAACCTGCAGTAAAGATAAGAAAATTAACAAAAATGTAAATTTTAAGAAATATCCCAAAGTTCCATTTCTTTGACCATTAAAACTGACCCTTAAAAAAAGCTGCTTATGAGTGAAATCCAACAGCTCATTTGTTTACTGACTGTACAGAAAGCCCTAACAGTAATTACTAATTCAGAGTGCTCTTGTAAACAATCTATTTTTGGCTGAAGTACTTACAAAGCACATAGCCTGCTCAGAGGGAAAGACATATTTGTATTTACTTTAAGCAAGATAGGTTTTATATTAGATATTCATTTAGGTTGTAAATACCTGAGATTTAAGCTCAATAACTCCCAACGGTCTTAATAACTAAGCAAATGAGGCAGATGGAGGTTAGGTCATCCATAAATTTGGTATGCACAAATATAATGCATCAATAAATAAACACAAGTGTTACATTTTCTTTATGTCTGCCTCTTTTTATTGTCATATTAAAGTCAATGATAACAGATGCAATTTACTGAATACTTTTAACACATACAAGAGAGTAAACCCACCATTTAAGTAGCTGCATTTCACTATATTTACAACAAAAAAAAAAAAGAAAAAAGAGGCAGTTACTCATTCCAATACAAACTCCCCTCCTTTACACCTTCAGAAGAATCTTTATTCACAAAAATACAAAGCACTCTCAGTAGAATTTCCCATGATAAAATGAAGTACTTATCCATAGGAAAGGTTTATGGGCTTTCTCTCCATTTGGCCCCTACCTGTCTTATACTTACATCTTCAAAAAGAAATAAGAGTAGACTTCTATACAGACAAATCAGTAAGTGGCAATCTCACTGAGATCACAAAGAAAAATTTAATTTATTCTGAAATTTCTATTGTTAAAAGGGAGATAGCAAAATATATATGGCTTTTAGAGCAGATACTAAGTGCAGTACTAGAGCAGATACTAAAACACTCTGAATCGTTATCCTGCCAAAATCTAGGCAGAAGTATGCCTTAGTATCGCACTGAAAATACAAAATAATTTGAGAATAGCTATGTTGAATTTCACATCAGGTCTTCCCTGCATGGAGGATGATTTAAAAAATAAACACAGTGGCAACTTAAAACAAGAGATTTACACTCCCTGAATGCAGCCTTACACTTTTCTTTTGGTTGCTACATGAAGACAAACTGCAGCAAACACATTCGTTTTCAAATGCTAGATCATTCAGCAGCCTGCTTTTACTTTAGCGTGCATAACTTCAGTTTTTCTCTCTCTCTATTCTGTTTCTCTCCAACCTATAAGCACACTGAATATCCAAATACTGCTAACAAGAAGACACTAAGACACTTACCCTCCATAGCACCAGAGTAAATTTAAACATACTACACTGAAATAATTTAAAATCTATAATCATTCTGAAAACTGCTCTAGTGGGCTAAAGATTAAAACACTTTGAAATTATTTCAAGGCAATGCATGAAAACAGCTTCCCTTTCTATTTCTACTTTATGTATTAAAATAAAACTAGGTTGTTCAGATGATCCTGCTCAATTATGAAACTTTCCCAAAACTAAGACTGTTGTAAATTACAGATTCCAGCAGTTGAACAGCTGCCATAATATGAAAAGCTATTTATAATTTGCAATGTTCTTATAACAGACTTCTCAGCATTCAGTAGCAGCTTTACAATCTGCAGCGTCTTGCAGGTATGTCCCAAAGCAGAATCCTGGGGAGGAAAACCATTTACTCAATAATAACTCGGGATAAAAGAAAAACAATTAAAAACACACAAGCAAAGAGCAAATATTTCAAACACTTTCAACAGCACTCCTGAAGTTTAACTAGTATGAATTAACCAGACTCAGTTCTAGCTTTCTGAAGTCTCTGTTCTTAACAGCTATAGATTGACCTCTGCAGCTCCTGTTGAAAGGCCATTTCCAAATGCACTCTGTGCAAGCCCACAGAACTCTTGTGCAGTTTTGTTTTGTTTGTTTTTTTTTTTTAACCAAACTGAATACACGTCTAATATTGAGTTAATAACAACTTCCATCCATTAATATTAACACAAAGATCTAATCCTAGCACATGAAAAAGGAAATTTTACCAGCTGAAATCCAATTTAAATTTATTTCCACTCTCTGGTGCAGAGAAACCTCTCCTTTCAGGGTCTTTACTAACAAGAGGTGGTAAACTACTGGGCAATTCTTTTGATAGTATTTCACTTACCAATTCACAGTTAGAGACACACAGAACTGATAATACACATTTCTTAATTTAAATAATATTTTCTTGCTATTTCTTGTTTTGCTACCTTGTATTATGTCCAAGTGCTATGTAACAATGGGAATATGAAATTCATTATTATCAAATATCAGAGGCCTCCTTGGAGGGGTTGATTCTTTGTCTGCTTTGTGCAACAGTTTAAAAAGTCCCGTTCCAATATTCATTGGAATTCCCATGATGATGCACTCAGAAACACCTAGGAAAAAAACCAAACACAAACATGTTGAACATCTGAAGAGTAAGGATTTACAAAACTATTTTCATTTGCCCATTCTGTACACGTTGCCTACCAAATCTCCTTGAACCTCACATGCAAAGACGAAGGTCTCTTCACTAGATAAAGTTAAACGTTATGGTCATTAGAACAGTATGTTATTTAAATTCTAGACAGGAAAAATTCAACCTAACCGAAACACCTTCTCTAGCAATGAAAGAGCTTCAGAAGGTTTGTTTTTGGAGAAGACACATTCCACTCAGTGTGAATAGAAGATACAAGGCAAAGTTACTTCATGTTCATTCTCTGACTCAGTGCTAAGACTTCAGTCAAATCTGGCCAAGTTCCCTTGAAACCCCTGCAACGTCTCAGTGAAAGAGGCATATCACTACTTTAGCTATACCACTTTTTGCATTTTCATGGTTCAAAAAGTGCTTGTTTTGAATTTAAAGATTTAGTCTGTCCCAACTATTTTTGATAGCGATAACATTTGCACAGCAATGTGCTGACACATTTATATTACAGATCTACTGATGTATACAACTTTTCCAAAGAATGTTCCACATTAAAACCAAGCTATCAGATATCAGTGTATTTTTCTCTGCATACTGTTATGATCCAAATAACACTTTCAAACATCCTCAGGAGTATAAGAATATTGTCCTTCACATAAATGTTTAAGAAAATAACAATAAAAAGCTGTACCTTTGAATGCACAAAGGATGAAAATCAATTTGCTTAAAATTCTGTCAAGATTTGATTGGTAATTTAAATGAATATGAAAGAAGATCCTGTATTTTCGCTCTTAGACCATTGCTGCATTTCTACTACGTATTTTCCAACATTATGCACTTAATCTTGTGCAAAATAGAATGCTTAGGAGTTACTGTATATTTAGGCCCGCTACTTTGTACAGCCCCTACAGCATGCAGGTTACAATGGACAAAGGAAATACCTTTATAACACCTAGCAGAATAAAACTTACCTGGTTTTGCACAACAATCTTTCAACCTGAGCCAACCATGGAAACTGCATTTAGAGTTTTGGGAATCCTTCTTCTCTTGCAATATTTCCGTACAACCAGAAGCCCTTCCTCCCCATCTCCCTTTTGCCTCATGGACAAAGTAATAGTTTGCAGCATCTGACAGCAGTCATGTATAGCAGGAAATTTTCGGACAGATCATGCCACTGTAACGACCAAGTGTATGTTCTGTATCTGCTCAGACTAATGTATACTAGAGGCCAATGACAATTGTATCGGACAGGTGAAGATGATCACGTTGTTGACGGCAGAAGAACTGCATGCTCTGCTCTAATGACCACCCAAGGCTCCTCCAGTGCAACGTCTTGCAACACTACCAGTTATAATCTATTACAGATCTAAGCATCTGGCTGACAGCTATGAACTGCTGCTCTCACTTTCAGCTGGAAGAAGCTAGGCAGCGATGAAGCCAGTCATACTGCTCTTATTGCAGAGCGTGTAAGAGTTTTCATAGCAATTCAGAGAGAGGACTAGTGATGGCCAGGTCAGGCAGCTGCACAGCACTTTTTCATACAAGCAAGCCAGTATCATCTCTTCAGTTTTGGAAGACAGACAACAATTTTCTGTTTTGTCCATTCCATTTCCTTATTTGAACTAAAACATTTATATAGAAGGCAACACGAAAAGATCTTTGGTTTCCACATTATTCAAAACAAGATTTCACCAGCTCAGAGGGGACTTTGAGAAAAGATTTTCTTTTCCTTGTTCTCCCATCAGTCTCCCATAGGATCTTTACTTTAATCATGGGCAAATAATAATAAAAAAAAAAAAAAAAGAAAATCCCATTCACGTTGAATGCTGGACAGCCAGCAAGTGGCAGAGTTCTTAAAAGTACAAACTAGTAATACAAAGGTTTCTAAGAGACCCCAGCAATTCAGAAAATATACTGTCCACAAAGCACTGTTTGAAATTGACTACACTTTCTAAAACCTTAACATAATACATTCATATTTTTATACTTCGTTAGCACCCAGAAACTCCAAATGAGCGGTTACAGCTCCAGGATGGTAGGCCTTAGATAAACAGATGATGAAGAGGGTGAAACCCACTTGACTTCTCCTTTTCTCTGTTTAACCTACTAGATAGAGACTTTTAAACAAATCATTCCAAAATGTATGTAGCTTAAAGGAGAATGAAATCTGGGAGGAATGGGGGCAAAAGAGTTTAAATAAAGAAAAATAATTTCAATTCCAAATATTGGAGGACATGGCAGAAATGCAAAATTAAGAGACGAACAGAATGACAAAACTCATCTATTTGAATTTTCTGTTTGGCTGTTGGCTGTATGTACATGTGCATGCATGCACTTGTGTGCATGTATACATATATTTTTAAACTCTTATCAGATTCTTTCATGAACTCAGTGAGAAGATGATTCAGTGGATGTTAATGAACTTAACTTTAAAACTGAAGAACAGATACATTTAAAAAATTTCTCAGGACAGGGATCTTCTCTGTTCTGTTAATGAATGGAGTACTGATAAACAAGGCTTCTAATTTAAAAATAAAAACAACACAATTTTTATCTATTTAGATCAGAAGTAACTGAAGAAGTCAAGAACTCCGCCTTTCTGTTTATTTCTAGGTATAACTGACAAATCACATAAGCAATCATTATGCACAGTATGATATTTACCTATGCTACCTGAGACATAAATGTCTTCCTACGTCTTAGTAGGAATGAAAACGAAATCTAAATACTGAATGGGGTACTAGATTCCTTAATCAGCGCTACGTGTTGAAAATATACAAACTTTCACAACTGAAAAAACAGAACTACTGACAGTGGGACAAATTTCCCGGTATTTCTCTGAGCTATGTGGTGAGAAGTAAAACCGAATTACTAAAAGTCTGCTCTAAGAAATATACAACAAATGTCCAAATGACTTCAAGATCTCTGATTGAGATTAGAAGCAGAGAAACATCCACCAAACTTCTAGGATCAAGAAGTATGGATCAGCCTGAGACCTGAAGTTTTTGACATGTAGGCTGAACAGAAAGCGTAACAAGGGCAAAAATCCAATGCTTTGAAGAGGTTTACAGATGCTGTCTAAGGACCACAAACTGCAACAGATTTTGCAATACCTACCACAAACAGAATCCTTCTGTCCAAAGTAGGCAGCATCAAAGAGATGGTCTGCAGTCTTTTCAAAGGAAGCCAGCATCAACACACTTTCCTTCATTTTTGCCAGTCCAAACCTAGTAATGCCCAGCACTTCACCCTTGATTGATGGAAGAACCCAAAGAAAGACTATCACAACAGTGGCTGGAGGTCAGTTATGTTTGCTACAGAAGCAAATCAAGTGAACGACAGAAATGTAGTTTTTATTCTAACACACATGAAACAAGTAGTAAGTAAAAGGGTTACTATCTATAATATAGCATTGTCATAATATGCTGCTTCACAGTTAAACATCCTGAAGGTTAATAGTTTGGTAGTAATCAATATTTAAATAAAACAGAAGTGATTATTCATATACAACAGAAGCTGTATAAATGGTTACTAGATTTTTTTTTTTTTTTTTAAAGCAAGAATATGGGAAAGATCGAGAGAAACATGGCCATGAGAAAAAACACACAATTATAAACTAGTTGCTGAGCTACAAAATTTAGTGGGATCTGAGATCACTAAGCTGAAGCTACTGCCTATTGTCTACTGATAAACCTGACTTCAGCTGCCAGGAGATTACAGAATATGTTAAATCTTCATTTTTTCACTCTCTGGAAAAAAAGTAATTAGCTTTTTAATCTAACTTGGTTTATTTCTGCTTCTGTTTCTAACTAACATCCTGATTATAACAGACTGTGCACAGAAGCACAAGTCAGAAGTACAGACAAAAGAATGCATGCTAGGAGCCCAACAAATGTAAAACACTGCACTCTGATGCCCTTTTCCACTATTGTGTTGCAGCTCCACACAGCCAACCCTGGGGACTGCTGCAGCTCAGTACAACAAAGCCCTACAGTTTTGGGAGAAGTCAGAACTCCTTCATCCATTTTATCCAAATTAAACCCTTGCACTCTGGCAGGCAAAGTGGAAAATCTTACTTCACTAAGTGTACTCAAATCTAAAAAACATATTGGATGTGACGGAAAGTCAATCAATAAAGAACAGATACGATTTTCTGCTAACAAGTTCTGGAAGACTGTTCATACTCTACATGTAATCTGATTCTATTTGTAATGTCTGTATCCTTTGACTCTTATATACAGTGCAGCTGCTATGAACCACACCCCATGTGGTTTTCTGCACAGCAAGCCTTAAATTGCATGCATGGTTGCCCAAACAGTTGAATTTCATACCACAATTTTTAGGATTCCTATTTCCAATACGGAATTATGATTCCCTACTCATTATATCAATTTGTTTTCAGTCAAAAGAGACCTTCTGCCCCCTACCCCCAAGAACTAGATTAATTAAGCATTTTGTTTGATATACAAACAAAACTTACAATTCTTTAAACCTGTAACTGATTTCCATCTCCCTAGCTCACCTGACCTTCTCAAACATGGTAAGATTAATTTGTATAAACAGGCCAATTTAGAGGAAAAACATAGTACAAACCTTATAAGTCATTAGATCAGACAGCAACATAACATGTCTCCTGTCAATGCTCATACCATGGTTCACCATTGTATACTGAATCTCATTGATAATGGTCGTCCGAGCAGCTTCAATTCCTAGTGTCTTCTCTACCTACACAAGAGATTATGTTAGATTAATGAACAACCAAATGCTTGGAGCAAGTATATTCCTGGAACAAATACCATCTGATGTCAGATAATGTCCATTACTACCCTTTTGCATTTCTCCGGTTGAAAAATATTTATAGAAAAAGCTTCTTTGAAGTGAACAGTACTGCCAGTCAAATTATTCTCATGTTAATGCATTATGACAACTATTAGTGAAATCAGGCTTGATTAGATATCAACTGCTGCATCTGAGCACAACCAACCACTTTTAATAAAGATGCTATGGGGAAAAACCCACAATACCCGTTTGAACACTACCTCGTAAGTGTTGTTAGAGGACGTTTTTGTTCCTTTCACTCCATGAGTAGCCATAACAGCTCGCAGATTATCACCTTCAACTAGAAGTTTATATTTTTCCTTTCCACTTTGTTCATCAATGTGAATGACAGCTCGGGAAACCTCTGGTATACCTTGCACCACAACCTTCACAAAACAAAAAAACCTAGTAACAGTGTACAGTAATGCAGTATGAAAGGGTAACCCTTATCAGCATTCAAACCTATTTAGAAGCTCCAGTCTTTGGAGTAAACGCTCAATTAAAATACATATGAAATTAGATTTCCTGCTCTTAAGTACACTAGTGCAAATGTGACATTCACATTGTCACTCACTCACTACCTACATTTTATATTTTATGCCAGATATCCTCACACTCAGACCTAGGTCTCTGAATGGTGGTAGAGCCACACAAGGAAAAGGGCATCCTGCCAATAATAACGTTCACTTATCATTATTTTTAAAATCCAAAGTAGACAGTCTCCTCACAGAAAGCTGCAAACATGCCAGATACTGTCACGTGGCTCAGTTCTAGATGCAGCTGGAAGAAGATACAACTATTTCATACAACTGCTGCACTCGGAATGCTTCAGTAAATGTTGTAAGAAAGTATCAAGGTTTCAATTCTATTTAGAAAGATTAGTAATTGAGGCTTAGTTTCAGCTGTAAAGCAGCAGCATCACAATCTAAGAGTTATGGACTCAGCCTATCTTAATTGTCAATACTGACAAGAATTATTTTGTCTTCCCACCATAGAACTCCAAATTATTATTACTGATGACCTCCCACAAAAGCACGAGACAGCCTTTGTTTTTACCTTTGGTAGTTCTTCCTTCAGGGACTGCAATACATAATACATTGAACTCTTGCTATTTTCACGAGGCGTCACACATACAACTGCTTCTCCATGGACAGCAACGTCCCCAGGCTTTACTCTGAGTTTAGATATGCAAATAGAGTAGCGCACAGTCTCTGCATTCACCTGTGGCAAAAGTCAGCCAGCAAACATCAGGACATCTCTCTTAACATAAATAAATCTGCTCAAATATATGCAGCAGTCTTTCAACAGAATATAACAAAGCAGAATGTAGAAAAATAAACAAGAATTGTTACTCCTATAAATTGCATGAAATATTATCCTATGCTGAGGGTACTGGCCTATATGTTAACTAACAGACGGAAACGGTATCCTTGTATTTAGCAAGACACCAGGAAATGAATGTACGTTCTTTCATTTCCAAATAAAAGAAAAATTATCCACTTTACAAGGGGGGAAAAAAAAAAAAAAGGGAAAAAAATTTTCCAGATGTAATGTAGCCACAGCACATCCTTCGTTCATTTTCTTTTTTTAACTTCCACTGGTCTGACTTCTGTTTCTGAGACAGGATTAAGAGACCCTTTGAAACTTACCCAAGGCATATTCTGCATAAAAACCGAACAACTCACCTCTAATCTCAGTAGTCTAATGCGCTCTAAAGACAGCTTCACTAGGATGAAACAATCATCTGGAAGAAACACTTCCTCAATATATTCTGAAATCTTTAAGAGATAAGGACGAAATAGTTAGCATGTGAAAATGGTTAAAATGCCCCATAGCAATTGGCTGATGTTTACATTTAAAGTGTTAGCAATAATACAATTTTTCCTACCTCTCCTAGTAAAGTTTTCTCAATTCTTCCTTTAACCAGACGGGCAAAATCAGGATCATCATCTTTGTCCAACTGTGCTGTTATAATAGGGGTGCTAAAAAGAATAAACACACAAAAAAACCCAGTTAGGAAACTGCTCAGATAGATTAAAGATGGCAATTTGAGTTAAAAATTGCCATTGCAGATGGCAAATTGAATTACAGCTTGTCTTATGGAACTTATCTCATATCTAGAGTAGTACTTAAGATAAAGAGAATTTCAGTTTCCGCAGGTACATTTCAGAAAATTATTATTCATGTACTTCAGGCTGGTAAAAACAAGTAAACACACAAGAGAGAATAACACAACTACTAGTCACTATTTTCACGGCGTACACTATTCTAGTATTATTTAAGTATGGCTTCATGGGTACCTAGGAATAGGTATGCCTCAACTACCACTAAACATCAGGAAGTTTCACAATATATAACAGACACCTAACGGAATATTGAACTTAAGAAGTAACGACGTTACCTCATTTGATTTTCAGAAAAATAAAACTTGTCTCTTCTCTGGCCCTAAGTATCACTTAGTTGGACAGACATCAGGTTTTTCTTGTTTGGGTATTCCATGCATTCAATGTTGTCTAGTGTATAACTGAGAACATGGAAATGCCATTGCATATTGCAAATTTATCCATCAGGTTTCACTTAGGCAAAGGCAAAAAAACCCCAAACCAGAACAGTGTTAGTACCTAATAGCCTTTGAAGCATTAATGATTTCTTTGATTCTTGGCACTCCCAAAGTAATGTTCATTGAAGCAACGCCAGCAAAATGGAAAGTCTTCAGAGTCATCTGTGTGCCAGGCTCACCAATACTCTGTGCACAAAGAGCTCCTACTGCAGAACCAGGCTCCATCTGTGCCCTGATAAAGAAATTACGTCATAAAAAAAATACAGAAAGAGACATAGAACTCAATAAGGCATAAAGTCCTGAGGAAGCAAAGACAGAAACTATTCTGGTAGATATATGAGAAGTTTGTTAATATTTTTTAATAAACAAACAGGAGAGAGGTGAAAAGGTCACCAATACTCAAGACTAATCTCATGCAAGGCACAAAGATGCCCTGTCATACAGGCATTCCACAGGTCCAGTATAACATCCATAACAGAAAATAAAATGCTTGTCCTCCTTCTCCTAAGCATCAAGCCGTAGATTCAGGATTCCCCATTCAGGAAAATCCCATATGCTAACATTTCCAAAACTCCCCTTTATACATTTAAGCATGAGACACCTTTATTTAGTCTTCTTTAAGAAATTATTATGCAGATTACTTTTTAATCAGAGCAAAATCCAGGTATTAATGCCTTCTTATTTTCATCTTATTCAAAAGCCCTGTACTGATGACGTACTTTCCCTTCAAGTTATGCATGTAATGGGCTCATTCCCACATTTGTCCCCTTCTAAAATTTATGTACTTTGAGAACTGGTTGTCCTTACAGGACAAAAAAAAAAAAAAAAAAAAAAAAAAAAAAGACGACCACTACTCTACCATATGCGAACTCAAAATGAGACATGAGGGGTGGTTTACATTCATCCCTACAATTTTGTTCTGATCCTGCAGTTAGCATTCTTAAGCTTGCATAGAGCACAATGTGATCTGCTTCTCTAGAGCAAACAAAACCTCTGAACTTAAGGCACAATACCACTTCCTAAATCAATCTAACTTGTAGCAGCTTCTTGCATTTTCCTTGATGAACTCTTACCAAGTAAAATTGCTGTCTAATAGAGATTTAGCTTGTACCACCTAAAGGAATTAATTTGGGGTGACTGTAAAACAAAATCATTTAAGTAGAAGTTATTGTTTCCACTATTATTTGGAGATCTCCTTACATTCATGTCATATCTACCCCAAAACTGCTGAAGTCTCAGCTGAGAGATTTCTCCTGGTAAAATGATAACAGTCTATAAAACAAAAACAATCATCATAGCAATCAGATCCTTTTCAAGGGTACCATCTTTCAGTTGCCAGATCATCATAATGTAGTATGCTAAAACAACTTACTACAGTAAAATAGGCAATTCATGTTTAAGAACACTTAAGACAAACGTAAGCAAGTAATCCTAAAAACTGAAAGCAGAAAACTGGTTAATTGCTTTAAAAGTTAAGAGTTTAATATATACATGAATTATCTAGAAAAAGAAAAAATATTAGTAAACAATTGATGCAGGTGAACGTGAGGCCACAAAGCAGGTGTCACCAATGGCGGCATGCCAATGAACAAATTCAAGGAGTCTAAGTAAATGAAACTCTCAATGGATAAAGAGATGAAAACATCCACACTATTGCTATCTTGTTAGAGTCCAAGGATAACAAATAAAAAGCTCCTACAAGTGCATAACGGATTCAAGAACACGTTAGCATGAAGCGTGACAGAACTCTTCACAGACTGTGTAGATCAAGAATAACCATCAAGATTCCTATGGATTTGAAACTGATCTATTCGGACATTATTTTGCATGGACTCTTTGGAGGTTTGGAACAATCTGCAAGAGGGGGAGGAAGGGAATATGTCTGCCAGTGGGTGTAAAAATGTCAGTGTTTAAACAATATCCTCTCTCACTCTGTATCCTACCACTTTTGGCTTTTACCAGAATCTGCTGTCAAAACACAATCTGTGGATAGAAGCAGTAAGTAGCTATAAAAGGAAACTGTGTTCACTGGTACGATTACTACTATTTCAGAAGAAAGGTGCCTAAACACAGGCAGATAGCTTTGCATGTTCAAGAAATATAAAATGAAACATAAAGCATTTTTTCTACAATGTAAAAGGAAACCAAACAAATTACTAAGAGCCTTCTAATGAAAGAATCTGATTATGACTCAAGACAGAAAGGTAAAAACCTCAGCTCTGTCAGACCTCTAGAACTGTCATACAAGACTCAACTCTGCCTTAAAAAACCCACCTGTAGATGGCAATGCCTTTTTTTTCTGGTATTCTACCTGTGTCTTGCAATGTTCATGTCATTGTGGCCAACTGTTTCTTATTCTTTATTTGTATTGCATTTACAACACAACCAACACTCATACAGTAAAAACAGCAAAATACACTCCTAGACTGCAAGCAAAGCAACAAACACTAAATTGGGGGGGGGGGGGGGAAAACAAGGGGGGGGGGGGGAAATAAATTGAGAAAATAACAGGCTAAACACTTACCTCATGTATTTGTCCCTACAAGTCTCTAGAAACTTCTCTAATTGTGTTGGAGTAATCCTATCCAACTGATACAAAACTCGTGGCTGAAAAGAGAATAGAACAGTTGGAAAAGCAATAGCTTATGAAGATTTAAAATAACTACATAATTACTCCCTTGAAACTATTTACCTCTGTTGTGCCATTGTCATTAATGCCATACTTGTCCCTAGTTTTTTTAATCTTCTCAGAAACACCTTTGATGAATTTTTTAATTTCCTGAAATTACATTAAAACAACAGTAAGCAAAGGCATGGTCTTCACATTGAAGTCTTCAGCAGTAAGTATTTGCTTAGAGCTCCAAATGGAGTGTTTACAATAATAAATTAACAATGCATAATATGAAGAGAGGAACATCAAAACTTAGACACACACATACACTAGAATTTAGCAAACCAGATTCACTCTTGTGTAACCACAAATTAGTAGCAGTACATGAGGAATATGGTCCACGCTGAATAAAAGCATCCTTCCTGAGCACACACTGAAAACTTAAGAGATTTGACTTTGGTTGATCCTTCCCTCCTACCCACCACTTACTGAAACTGATTCTACCATAAAAAAACCAACCAAACAAAAAACCCCCCCACACACAAACAAAAAAACTCCTCAAAATTCTTATTTTCTAAGTATACTGACACAAATACATTCTCACTCACTTCTCAGTATTCAGAATAAGTCGAAGCGGAAAGACTGTGGCAAGAGAGGAAGTATATAAAGGACACCTGCTGGATAGATTTCAGAGATTCAAGATGTACTTTATTTGGGGGAGGAAAAAGCCTCAAAATTGATATATACACATCAGTCTCTACCTAATGTAGTTCAAATAACTTCTCTGTGCTGTGGAGAGGTCTTGCAGATAATTGTATGTAAGGTGTAGTAGTACATAAGCCTTTCACTCTCTTACCAGGTTTACCCAAAAGTACTCCTAGCGGTCTTTACTGGAACATCAATTGAAACAATACTGTTAGAAAAATATCCAACACTTCTATGAAACATCATTTGGGCATTACGCTTTGGATATATATATACACACTAGAAGTCATGAAATATGAGGTCCACGATTGAACTCTTCCATAAAAGAGGAGTCAGTGCAAATCATTACCGTAACACAGGGTTATCAAAACCAAAATATAAACAAAAGCAAGAGGAAATCCTTCCCATCTACTTCAACAATGATTTAAGAAAGCCTCCGTGGAGAGGTGAATAGTTTGATTTTTAGGGTCCTTTTAAACTCTTTCCACCCTATTAGTCCTGCCTGACAACCAGGATGATGATTATATAATATCACCTCTTCTTCACTCAGTGCTGCACTGCTTCCAAGCACCGCAGTAGCCAAACACTGAAAATCACTTGCAAAATTGAGTAAATATTTGAGTGACTGCCTTTTTTACAACTGAATTCATAAATCATTATCAAAACACTTCTATTACATCCTAACAGAATCCTCAGATTCTCAAAACAACAACATTCTTACTGGTATTCAAGGTATTCTCAGACAGTACATTATTTTCTGTGAATACTAGAACAAAATTCAAATGAAAGAGCCGACAACAGAAGTGTGCTGCTGGAATGGATGCTTCAAGTTGTTTCCCCGCTTGGATGACAACAGGATGCATTCATACATTTCTGCCCCTTTTGCCCTGCAGTAAGTCATATTAACTCATGAATGAAATATTTTGCCATTTTAAAGGTTTTTTACCCTGAAATCTTTGCATAAAAACAATAATTTGATTTATTTCCTAAAATAAGTGTTAAGCAATCATATGGTATTAGAAATATTAATCTTTTTACTCCAGGTGCATAAAAAAAAAAATAATATTGCAGGACTTGCAGAAGATCATCCAGAACATTTGATCTAAAGGAAAAAAAAAAAAACCACTACGGAGAGACTTTAAAAGTAATTCTATCTTGAAAGATGCTTTGTGGAGGGGCAGGAAGGGAGGAGTGGAAGGGGAAGGCAGAAGGTGTAACACTAACTTCTCCCTCCAGAACACTGAAGACTAAGTTTTTTTAAAATTTTCACCTACTCACATAAAACCAGGAGACAGTAATAATAACCACACCACCACCAGCTCCTCAAAAGAAGTTGTCATACTGGCTGAAAAACTGCTCATATGGTCATATGGAAAAAGTCCACAACAGGGCAGACTTACGACCAAAACAGCATAGGACTGCAAACAGGATTCTGGCAAACTATTTATTGTCAACTTTTCCTCTTTGACAGTCCCCGAGTTCCAAAATACTTAAGAAAAAAAAAATATCTCCAACATACTAAACCAATTTTTATGTATCATTCTGAATTGTAAAAATAAGGTACTCGATACATTATTTCCATACACGAGAGCCAAAAAAGGTGAGAAATAAAAGACAGATCTCTGAAAACATTTATTTTTCATCTTCAAAAGTTTTATTCATGCACAAGAACTAAAAGAGGAAGTAACCTGTTCCTCTTAACTTTCAATTAACTGTTCGCAGTTTATCTAAACTATGGATTAATTTATGCTACAAATAGAAAGAAAATGTAGCTCACTCTTTGCTGAGCCTGTCTGTCTCCATGGACTTATCTTCAGTGCAACACTGTCCTCTATGAGCACAGCTATGTAACTTCCACAGCGAGCTCAAGAAACCATCAGTTCCTTCACATCATCTAAACCTATGAAGTCTTTTAGTCTGGACCTGTTTAACAAAAAGGCACCAAACTGACTGAGTAAGCTCTGGCTCAATATCAGCCTTGTCAGCTCCTACAGAGCCGATGTTTAGTTAAAATAGCAGTCCAGGGTATAAAGCCTAGTCGCTCAGGTGTTTGCATCACGCTTCCCAGCACTTAAGCTCATGCGATCATTTATATACGTGAAGCACTGGTAATATAAGAAACCTCACAGTTCAGAAGCCCACTGAAACGCAGAGTGGTACAGACAATTCCACAAGATTCAGCAATAATCCATTCAAGTCCAGACAGACCCATTAGGTCAGCTCTACATACGCCAGCACTGACTGGCTGTGTGCTCAGCCTTTTCCATGCTTGCACCATGCTCCCCAGTACTTATACTGAATCATCTCCAAAAAAACACAGAAAAATGATTGATTTTTTTTTTTGTGAGGGTTTCTAAAGATTTTCTCCATTCCAATAAGAAGAAAACAAAAATTTATTTTCACCTGTATCTTAATGTACTCAAATATATGAAAATACTAACACAATTGAAACTGTGCCAGCCAACAATCTGAATTCCCTCCAGTGAGGGCAGAGTGCGGGCAGAATGAACACTAGTCTGTTTGAAAAAGGCTATCTAGACATAATGTCTTCTGGATAAGAGTGGATAAGCCCATTATAGGAATCTCCTGGTAAAATAACAGCTGTAAGAAATATCTCTGTTCTGGAAGGGAAAAGCGGAGGAAGGGATAGGAAAACATCAGAAAAACATGCTAATATCCATAAAGGTTGAAAGAATGAGTTTTAGAAAGGAAAGTTATATACTAAAAGAAAGCTTCCTCAAAATCCTAAAATTTCACTATGGGGATTAATTAATGTGTCATGGTTTTCACCATTAAAAAGGAATTGGGTAAATTATTGTGATGAACGCCTACATTGTAATTTAATAAGCAGTAATGTATATATGCTAATCAGTTACTTTAGCACTATACACACATCTTTAGCTAAAAAGCACTAACATTAATGCTCACACAGTGCACACACATGCTACAATTACCTCATTATATTTTTCATAACCTGTCTCAGTTAATGTCTTCAAGGACGAAGAGAAAAAAAAAAGGAAAGAAGAAAATGTAACAGTATCTAAAACTTAAAATTCTTAAGTTAAACTAATTACCATTAAGGTGATGTAGTCATATCTGTGCTTCTGAAATTAATAGCAATTATTTAGATTTTCCTGATATGATTAAAAAGATGTACACCTCAAAGAACAGCTTTATCTCTAAACTTTGATATTAGTATATTGCATTTTTTTTCCTTCAGAGATGCAGTTAAGATTTACAGCATATTTCAAGTATGGATATAATTATTTTTTCAACTCTGCTCTAGCAACGGAATTGCAAATCAGGTTTATAAACAACTGCTTACTAGTTTTGTCACCTTCTGCTCTGAAGCACTCTCATCTATTAAAATGAAACCCTTCAAAAGCAGGTCACTAAATTCACATTGTTCTCATCATTGCCAGTAATCAGAAGGTTCATCAAGGTAACAGCTTTATGTGTCCACAGGCAGGTTAATTCTACAGTTTTTATCACTATCTCCCTAAGTAGTCTTAAGTGTGGCTGCTCTAATAAATATTAAAATTGCTTAATACTCTTTCAAACAAACTGACTTCTACAATTCAAAGTGCAAGCAGTCATGTGACCATTCACTCATCCTTAAAAGACATGTAAGTACTCCCCAGAAGATAAGCCCTGTCCAGCAAAGCACTTCATGCGACAGAAGTTTTTTGCTGGGTTAGTATCATAAGAACGGCAAGGTAAAGAGGTCTAAGTGTATAGCTGGTATTTCTATTACTAATTTGCTTCTTTTCCTGTAAAAACAGTTATTCAGAAAGTTGATAATATCAAAACATATGCATAATAACAGAGTATGAGACTCAGTCCTAGTGGTTTCTTAGAGGCAATAAGTATTATTTCATTTCTGACATCCCAGGGGAAAGCACATAATTACTGTACCATCTTGCTAGGGAGAGAAATTCCAGCAAGGTATCTCAGATCAGTGACACGTTCTCAAAAATCACCAGATTTTTCTCTCATTTCTAATGTTCCTGTGGTGAACGTGAACAACTACTATAATAAAAATTAAAATTACTATAGTCCTACCTCTCCGCCCTCTGAATGCACAGAAATATACTACTGAACAAACTACTCCTGCTACTAACGCATAAAATTCAGACATTGCTCCTACAGATTGATAAGATCATTTTATTTAATTTCCTTGATTTCTAAGGAAAAGTTAATCACAGTGTGATAAGGAAGTGAGGCAATTACCTGCAGAAAACTGTCTCGGCAGCAAAGAAATTCGTTCTTCTTCATGATGGACTCAGCTGTTAACACCAATTCATTTTTACTAAGGGCTGGTTCACTTCGGCATGGATATACAGCCTTAAGAGGAAAAAAATTACTTCTTCACATAAAACAGATGCACAAAAACTTCATTGTAAAGGCACAGAATATAGATAGATACAATTGATTAACGGCATTCTTTAGTTTTGGTTGTTTTGGGGTTTTTTTGTTTTGTTTTGGGTTTTTTTTTTTTTACTATATAATACCAGACTATTGTGAAAAGAAGTTCCACCTACACTTCCACTTACTTATGTAAATCTGAAGGTATACACATACACACACTTCTAATTCTATCAATTTATTACACTCACATTACAGAAATCTGAACAGTCATTTCAGCAAAAGCCTTTTATCTTTTATCTTAACCAAAACCAAACAATACCATTCTTCAAACATCACAATATGTCCAGAGTTAATCAACACCACATCAGGCCTCTGACTTAAGAAGCAGTTCAACACAAAGAACATGCATGTCTTGATTTAATAAAGAATTACTTTGGACTTTGACCAGGACCACTCAAAAAGGCAATTTAAAAAATAAATACTTCAACTGAAACAATTCTCCCCATCATCTTCCTACATGCTTAATAGTCTTTTCACACTTCCAACAAAGATTTCAGTAATCCTTACCCTGATATTGTCTAGAACTCGCTTGAATTCCAGTGGTTCATCCTTCCCTTCCATGGCTGCAGGATCCAAGCCATCTCCCCCATAAATAAACTGTATAATGTCACCAGTAGAACTTCTGACTGTTAAATCATACTGTGAGCAAAGATCTTCAAGTGATTTTACCAGCCGCCTCTGAAGGAGGGGAAAAAACAAGTGCAAGGAAAGTAAATGGGATCTTTTTAAAAATAGCTGTTGATTGGGATTACAAAAAGTATAGAAAGTGGACTCAGGAAATAAATCTGACACAGTGATTAGCAAGCATGAAAACCTATTTTAAGGCATACATTATCCCTAGGGCTTTACTGTACATTCCCCAGAATATGAAAGCTAACAATAACAAAATTTAAAGCAACAACACAATTCTCCACATTTAGAAAATCCATCATATAGGAAACCTAATGCTAAGCTGCAAGAACCTATTATAGTCTGAGGAATTTGGGGTTTTTTTTGATGGAATAGTCATATTCTTCCAGTCAGGTTTATTTCTCAAGGGATACAACACTTTTTGTGCATGGCAGCAAAACCAGTCAATGATTATTTTCACTGACAAAACCCAAAGAGCTCAGCTGTCAAAGCCAGTAGGTGCTATTTTTCTACCAGTGTTAGGTACTTCTCTTACATTAATTCCTTGTATTGGGAAATCCCTTTACTACAGTCTTCCTTCCTCTGCCTCCCCAAAAGAAGGCATGCTGTGAAGCATTAGTGTTTAAAAACGGTTTTACTTGAAAGATGGACTTCATTGTTCTATGAAAGTAAATTAGCTTACTAAAGAATATAAACTGGTAATTTTTTTCAATGAGGAGGAAAAAGGTAAGATGAAATAAATGTTAAGATTTTTTTTTTTTTAAATTCCAAAGTCCAAGCACTACAATTTATTCATGTAGGGTGAAAGTTGATAAGGAAAAATATTTTCCAGGTTGCTTATTATATTTATATATATTTGTATATACTTACACACATGCAAACATTATTCCACTAGTTTGGGAGACAAATGGTCTAATTAGTCACCCACCCTGAAAGGAATTGATTTCAGTCTTTGTAGAGTTTGCAGATCTCTGAACATGTCCCCAGCTCCAAATTAGCTTGGCTTTTCTACTGCCTGTTGCTCTGGGAAGAGGACTATACTTAAAATACTAAAATGTTTTCACTGAAGTCTTAAGACTGCTCATAATAGCAAGAAGCTTTGTTGGAGGGACATTTATTTTCACAGGAGATACAGCCAAAACCACTAACACCTTACAGAACTTTAAAGTCCAAGTCTATATGGCCAAGGTGCCTGCTACCTAAAGAGGACAGGTACTGAAAGGGAACTTCAGCCATATTTCTGTGATCCAGACAATCTTTTTTTAAATAACCCAAACCAAGGATTTGTGTTTTCTGTTTCTCATTGTTGAAATAGCGTATCTGAAAAAGCACTCACAACTCAAATCTATGTTATAATCTATGGACAAAACTTCCATCATTCACATGGGTTTTGGGAACACACACTACATAGAAAGTAGTCCTCAATAATTCCATAGAACAAGGGTTTTTACCACCCATATTCAAGGGGAAACAGCTTAATACAAGCATGTTACTGTACCATTGCCTGAGGTCTGGTTTACAAACCTCACGTCTACCAGAGAATAGAGCAGTCATATATTTCACAGCATAAATTACTCTGTTACTAAGAAAACAAACACAAACACACACACACACACACACACACGTATGCACTTCTCCCCCACCCCTCACCTCAACATGCACATAAGAAATATCCTCCTTTTGTAAGACTGCTAAAAACCCCACGCCACTGACAGTTACCTGCATATATCCTGTTTCAGCTGTTTTTACAGCTGTGTCAACCAGACCTTCTCGACCAGCCATTGTATGAAAAAAAAATTCAGTAGGAGTCAACCCAGAATAGAAGCTGTTAGCAACAAAGCCTTTTGCTGCTGGGAGCTACAGAGAAGAGCGGAAAAAATGGTTAAAATGCAATGTACATTCTGTATGCCTGTTACAGAAAAACATGTTGCCCGTCATCTAAATTCTTTCAGATAGTTAGCCAATACATACACAAACACAAAGCAATCACCTCAGCTGCATTTAGCTTTGAAGTCCAATGTTTGTATTTTAGATCTGAATAAAGGCTGCAAAACCCTTGCCTAGTTCTTCCAAACTAATCTAATAGACTTTCTTCCTCCTCCTCCAAGCCCTGTCATGCTTCTAGCCATTCCTTGCAAACACTACACCAACTTCTAACACTTTAGCCTCCCTTAAAGTTGCAAAAACTGAAAAGGCAATAAGACTGTTCATTTTGCAATAATATAGCAAATATATTTGCAGTGCTGAAGACTAAGGAATCCAGAAAAAATATGACTGGAGGTATGTACGTAACTAATTCTTTTGAATGGTTTGCTCTCACCTCTGAGAAGCGTTCTTGCCAGTGAACTTTATGCAGGCATCCCTTTAAGTCAAATAACACCAAACGGCCTCCATGATCACATAGAACAATGTATAGGCTACAAAGAGGTTCACCTTAGAAGATCACTTTTTGTTGTTATTTAACAGGTAGTGCTTTCTAAATCAGTAAAAAATCTAGAGTTAAATTTTAACTTTTACCTTCTCATCTAATCCACGAAGTATTTTTTCTTCTTTAATTTATTCCAAAAAGAAAATATTTTACTTTACAGAACTCAGAAGTTGACATTTGGACATTCAGTGACAAATGCATGTGTCATGGCTACCATCTGACACTTGAGTTACCTAACACACTAACAAGATTGATGGCTGGTACCTAGAACCTTCTCTACTGATCACTAGATTTCAGATAGCAGTTTAAAAAAAAAATGAATCTACTGAATTGTATTAACAAGTACACGAGACTCCTTATTGCTTCATGTAGGGCAGAACTCAAACATGGAACATTCAGAGTAGCCCATGGTATCTCTTAATGGAAAAAGAAAAGAACCCAGACTCCAGGATGGTTTATCTGGCATGTTTCACCTGTCTAAACATACCAACACACACCCAGCAGCTGTCCTGAAAAGTCTTAGTGCAGTGAAACAGAACACAAGAGAGAAACTTTAACAAATTATTTTCAGGACTCTGAACAGAACCAAAAATGTATCATCAGACTTAGTTTAATTTTACTAAATTAGAAAGGTCTAAGCAAGGCTTAGCTGTAAAAATTAAAGCTAACTAGACATCCTATGGCAATTCACAACAGTACTGTTAACTTCCAAATCACATTCAAAACATTTTACGTTCACCATATGTGATCCTTTTCATTCACCATGTCACAACAACACATCCTATCACGCATCTTTCTTACTTGTTTCACTTTTCTTTACAGTGTATTGTAAACGTACAGAATTACCTTAGAATGCTTCTCAAAGTGAGGCAAGGATCTGTTCTCAAACCCATCAGGAACTCGGGACCCACTGATAGCCTGCTGACCTACACAAGCAATCATCTGGGATATATTAATGAAGGAGCCTGAAAAGAAAAAAAAAAAAAATCTCACTCACAAATGAGGAATATCACTGCTCCTCTGATGAGCTATCTTCAATTCTATGAAGATCTATTATTTAGCTTCATAACTCTTCAAAAAAGCACTTAGAATTGCAACAGATAAAGAAGCTTTTCTGTTACTCGTCTTGTTTATTTCAGCATTTATGCAGAGACTGACAACTAAGTTAGTCTATGATATAGCTAACAACTTTTAAAATTTTTTTCTTTGGGTCACAGACATTCATGCCACCACTATTTGTCTACAGTCCTTATATTATCCTGTTTTGTAGTATGGATTGTGTTTTATACAACCCATGATCCTAACCTACATATTTTGATTCACAATTTCTTCAGTAAACATATTTTAGCAATATTTTTCATGAAGGGTTCAGTGTCTACCAAGATTCCTAGAACAAATTAAGTCCCAGAGAATTAACGTCACTAACTCAGAAGTTTTATTTGCTTAACATGTTTGCAAACAATGACCCGCCCCATTTATACACTTAATATATCCTTCTTCTTAGATTTCAGTATTTCTTTAGAAATACAAAATGTCACCCTGAGGCTTTCTACCATTTATTAGAGACAGATAAATAAAGGCAAAGAGTTGAGTGATTTCTTCAAATTCTTATAGGAAACAAAGGAAAGCTTAGATAAGAATTTGTGTATAGAACAAGTATTTACTACACAGCTGGTCCTTCAGAAACAAAGCAGTGAAGATGGCTGAAATATTAGTTCCAATTCTTAATATATCATTTCCAGTTGAGTTTTGTATGTGATATAGATACTTGAAGTCAGAAATGCAACTGAAAACTTTTTACTGATTAATTAATTCAAGACTTAAGAACATCTAAAGTTCCAATAGGATGTTTTTCAACTTGTACTAAAAATTTAAAGATACAAAAACTAGCCCATCAGCTTGTTTTTAATTAACTGTACCCAACCTGTACTTACTGAGAAGAGTCACTTCAAATCTATATGACATGAATTTAATACTTGAACAACTGACTGTATAAAACAAGCTATAAAGACAAAATAAGTAATTTTGAGAACAGTGATGGAGTGAGCAATCTACTTCCAAGGTTACGCTATCCCTACCTTTAGAACCACAGAGAGCCATGATAAGGGGACTGTTGCTCTTGTCCAGTTCTCTGAGACAGGCACTGCCAGCGTGATCTCTGATAACAGAGAGTTCTTTCAGGATTAAGGCCTGAAATCCAAGATTTCAGAGAGTAAGCATTTGTTAAAAATACAAACAGTACTCTATCACGTGCCAGCAATACCTTCAGTAGTCAAAGGGAATTCAAAGTACAATAAAGAGAAAGAAACCTCGATGTTGCTTTGGGTAAAACAAGTGTAACTTTTAACTTGCATAACTTTCCAGTTTGCTGCACAAGAAGTCTTTGTTGGGATAAGACAGGGGTAGCCAGGGACATTACAACATCTTTTGTGAGCAGCACCAGCTTAAGCTAAACTGAGCGTTGAACTAAGCTCTAAGTCTCACTATGCTATGTGAAAGACTACCACAAAAAAAAAAAAAAAAAAAAAAAAGATTTTTTTG